GACCCCCCCCCCCTGCTGAACCTTATCACATAGCAGAACACAACACAAACCACTTTAACATAGAAAATCTGATCTAAACCCCATTGAAATTTCTGAGGAGGTCTTTCATCTTTTCATATACAATGCAACTTCTGAAACACGGCAGGAATTAAATACAGCAATACACAGATCAACACTACAACCCATCCATACATCTTGGCCCCGAAACGCCTGTTAGTCGCACCAAAACCTCCCACTTCCATTACAAATCCACGCGCCTGGTGGCAGGAAAGCTCCTCCCCAGGGAAGTTCTCATTTGCTCTGTGTATGAGGTTTCTCAGAGATGTGATTCTAGTGCTACACTTGATTTCTTACTTCAGGTATTTCTCAGAGGAGGATATTGATTCAACAAACCCACACATGAATTGCAGGGACTGCAGGAACTGTAAAACACAAGCAGGGCTCTATAGGTTACAGTCTCCCTCCCAAAGAAATACCTCACCCAGCCATCACCTTCTGATGCTTCTATTTAACAAATGCTATTTAATAAATTACATTATCCATGTGAGACTGCCTGGATATCCCCCCTACCCTTTTTCTTTTAAAATGTAGCAGGAAAAAACTGACAGGACTGTCACTGCCCAAGGCAGGCCAGTCTTGGGGCTGTTAATAGATTTATTGGGATGAGAGTTCAAGCCCAGCTCATGGAGGTGTTACATAGCTGGGTTACAGTCCCCGATAGCAAAACAGGCAAATTGCAACAACCCAGTCCTCTTGAACAAGGATATGAGTACTCCCTCTAACTATATATATACACACACACCTTGCTGCATAAAGATTTAAAATCCATCCCCACGGTTGGTCCGACTGTTCGCGGCTCTGGGCAAGAGCTCCGTCGCACCACGTGCCACCCACCCGCCCGGTTTCTGAGCGCAGCCTCCCCGCGCCTGCGCTCGCTTTTCGCTCCGCCATGAAGGGCTGGAAGCGCCCGCCGTGAGAAACAGAGCTGAAACACGCAAGGCGGAACGGAGGACTCGCCGCCCGCGAACAAAGTCGCTGTTTGCACAAAAGACAGCATTTGCTCTCTCCCATCCGTTAGTCCGTCAGGTAAATAATGCACGTGCCAAAACACACACTTAATGAGGTAAATAATATGCCTTGAATAACGGCTAAATCTGTATTTACCTGCGAGACCAGAGAAACTCGGAAGGACCAGATTAGGAGATAATTGCGGCTGAGCAGGTTGTGTGCTTCGAGTAAACATGCATTTGGTAACCTTCCCTTTCCAAGGTTTTGAGTGAAAGGCAAAAAAAATCAAAGGGGCTGAGATGTTTAAGACGGAGCCAGCGCCCGCACTGCCGATTCCGTGGCGTAAATGCATCACCGCTTTGTGGCTTTCATGTTTTGGGGGGCTGCTTGCTTTATTAAAGCAGTGTGCCAGGCAGCAGGTACCCGGAAAACTGAAAACTCAAATTATAAAACCATAACAAAGAGCCCAACATTGCATTTATCCTAAAGGGCTCAGTTCTACCTATTGCTTTTCCATCTACAGCTTTTACTGTCATTAATAAATGCATTACAGCCAAACAGAGGTTAGTTATATTCACTTCTAACCTGCCCCAGATAAGAGATATTTAAGGTATACGTGCTTTAAATCTTCAAGGTAGTGACTATGAATCTAAAGGCCCATCACAGCAAATATAATATCTCAGAATAAAGCAGCTTGTAAGGTAGTTGCAGTAAAACCTGGTCTTTAGCCTACTGCATAAAGTAAAATGTACAGTTGGAGTGGGGGAGGCAGGCAGGCTCCAACCCCTATATCAAACACTGGCAATAAAACATACATTATCCACCCACACGCAGCAAGATTAGTACTTCTCTAATGCATCTTAACCGGCAAGACTAGGGCACCAGACATGAACCCCACGAATCTTCAGGCTGGCCTGCACCATGCACAGCGGCGCAGAGGTTCCCGAGCCACTGAGTCCACACGGCAAAGATAAACGGGCCGTCTCGGCAGGAGTCAGGCACGGCAGCACCGCTCCAGACCCCGGCTGGTCTGTGTCACACAGGTACCATGGGACATCAGCAGAGGGAAATCACAGCTAACATCCAGTGCCTGCTGACACCAACAACTTCTGCAGGTGGTCCATTTCTAATGACAGGATCAGGCTCCCCATCCTAAAAGCAGCCTCCCTCCCAACCTTCCATGGGAAGAGGGAGCAATGCTCTGAACAAAGGTGCGTGAGTGGGGTATTGCACGCTGATTCCCCTATGCAGACAGCTTACAAATAAGAGCAACCCCACTGCAAACTCTGCACTTCCAGCCAAATGAAGTTTTAACTGCATGTTTACCCAGCCACTGCTCTAGGTGCCCTGGGAAGACCCCACATCATCTTCTTTGGCCAGGTCAGAGTGCCTCAGAGCACAAGATAGCTGGTGAGCAAACACACTTTATTAGAAGTCATGTAAAGCATTTATAACGGCTATGACAATGCAAAGCACTAGTAATTACCCCGTATTTTTTTCCAACAGACAACAATGCAAGCAACACAGCTTCAAAAATTGGAAACCTGGCTCTATCCATATAAATCCACATGTTCAATGATTCCATTTCCAAACCTACGTAAAACACCACATATATATTTCTTATGCACATAGGGTCAGATTATAATCTCAGACAGTGCAAGCTGTTACATCTGGCATTCAACCCTATTAGTTTAATATTTCATATCACACAGCTCCAATTCCTTACACAGATACATATGAAACATAATGGGACCATGAACTGAGGCTGGACTTCAGGAATTATTTTGACAGATTGTACACAGACCTAGGAAAACGTGACAGCGCTCTCCATTTGCAACACCCAATAACATGGGAAATGGCCATGTGTGGTGGGTTTCAGCTGGAAGATAAAGCTCGCGTTACATGCTGTGTAACAGCGTGTGCCACACGTGACATCACTGTCTATAATCAGCAACTGTCTTTTAAAAATGATTTGAAAAAATTTCATCTCTGGACATCAGCCACAGGTAACAGGACAAGCTCAGGCTGACCACAGTTCTTGCTCATTAGTGGTCCAAGCACACGATGCTAAAGCACGACAGTTTGATCAGCAGCAAGCAAGGAAAGCCAGGAGAAAGGCAAGTGCCAGCTGTAGCTGCCGGCTTGCCAGGGGCCCCACCGAGCAAGAAGCGGAGAATCTGCACCAGTGGCTGCCGCGCTCCAGGCTTCCTATCAGGGAAGCCACTTAGTGGCAACTGCAAGCAGCAAGGAACAGGATGGGGAACTTCTGCCACGTGAAGGAGGCTGGTGACAAAAGCCAGCAGGGCATTGCAAGCACTCTCCACCACCTGCGGGACAGCCCCAAAGCCACATACAGAGATGTGCACCACGCCAAGCTGCATTCATCAATGGCGAGACAAATTAGCCTACGAACTTGAGCTTAATGGGTTCTTTGCACATAACATTAATATTTACTTTTTACAACCATATCTAATTAAAATCATCTGGCAGCAAGAGCAGGCATAACTTTAACAGCTTGCCTTTAACCCAAAAACATTCCCCTTCACTGTCCAGTTTCACAAGCTGATGCAAGGAGGGGGGCAAGAAGACAAACATCTAAGTTCAGGTTGGAGGGGCAACCCAAGAAATGATGTTTTATGAGAGCCTCCAACTACATGTTAAATTACTTTGTTATGGCAATATGGCCATCCACCATATTAAAAATAAACAAACAAACAAAAAAACCCCAACACTAATCTAAAGGACAAGACAAACTAAAATTAATAAATAAAAGCAAGCTAGCTTTGGGAATCATATGCTTCAGTATATTCCTTGTGCAAAGCCTGGGCAGGGGCAGCTGTGACTCCTGGCCTCCAACAGACAACTGAACTCAAGGCTAGAGCAACCAAAACCAATCCGAAATGTAAGTCAGGTTTGTCTTATTTTATTATAGTGTCTTATTTTATTAAATTATAAAGAGTAAAAAGATAAGGTAATAAAGATGCTTTTTGTAGAACAAAATTGCATACATTTAGCAACACCTGGAACAGAGTATGACAAAAAATGCAGGACTTCATTTTGGTAGCTGTTCAAATGCATACTCAGAGGTCAAATGTGAGCCCATATTTCAGTTGTGTGAAGATATAACTGAAGAACAATAGAGATAACTCCCTTTTTTTTTTTCTAAATCAACCTTAACCTAAACCCAAATATTTCATTAGAAGAACTACAGTCCAAAAATGACAGCACCTGGCTAGCCTGCGAGGCAGGAAACGAGAGACTATGAACAAAATCAGCTTATCCACTGTCACCATCCAAATTTGGAAAAAAAAAAAATACATAAAGTAAAGCAAACAACAAAACACAAAGATTTTAGAACCGTTTTAATAATGTAACATCATTTTAGACAGGCAAATTTGCTTCTTTAATTTGTTAACCTCACAGTATTATCCCTTGAACATGAATCCAGTAGACTTCCATGGTTGCACTCCCT